TTCAGTGATCCAGATAAAGAAAGATATTTTAATAAACAATAATAATTACTAATGAAATAATAAGATATTCTATATTTTAGTTTTCATAATATTAATACCATATGGATTTTTATATTTTATACCTCTTGTTTTTGCATTTGTTATTTTATCTGATTGTTGTGTACCATACAGAGTCACTTTTGGCAAAATGGGGGACATTACAGATTTGATAAATAAAATAAAACTATATATTTAGAAAAACCTATTATGGGCTGTACCTCAGGGATCCCCCCCCCAACCCCCAGTCTGTGGCCCACTACTGGACCGGGCCCATTGGGAACCAGGTAGTGCAAGCAGTGAGCAATTGTGCCAAGCTTCATTTGTGCATGCCAGGATTAGACTGTGTGTGTGCGAAACCATCCCCTCTTCCCCACCAGTGCTGCCAGTCACCACTGCCGTCGCTGCAAGACTGGGGAGCAGGAAAAGTAGGGGACCGCTGCTTATCCTTCAGAATGGTGAATACTGAATGCAATACTATATTGAGGAATGTCTTATTTGTAATTGGTCTGCTTCGGTGCAGGTAGATTTATGGCTTCAGTTTAACCACATGTGAGAGCTTGTGTTTCCATGAAATCCTAGAATCAGTGCAGCCCAAGATATGAATCATAATGGGAATATACTGATGGAAGGATACTAACTATTCAAAAGAAACAGACCTAACGAAAGAGGAGGTAGAGTTGCATTATATATAAAAAATCACTACCTCTCTACAGAAATCCACAAAATTAAGGATGAAAACCTTCTAGAATCCTTATAGGTCAATATAAAAGAAAAAAAGAATGACATTGCTACAGGCATATATTACAGCCCACCCAAAAAAGCAGAAGAAATAGATGAACTTTTTGCTAAACAATTAACAAATGTATTTAGGAAATATACCACAATAGTAATGGGAGACTTTAACTACCCTGATAACTGGGAGACAAACTCTGCAGCTAGTGGAAGATCAAACAGATTCCCAACCAACCTAGCTGACAACTTTGTCATCCAAAAGGTAGAGGGGGAAACTAGAGGAAAAGATATACTGGACCTAATTCTTACTAATAAAGAAGAGGTGATAGAGGGAGTTGTAGTTGCTGGAACTTTGGATGAGAGTGACCATGTCATATTGGAATTCAATATAATGCAAACATAAGCAATAGAACATAATCCAGCCAGTGTTTTAAACTTCAAGAGCTGATTTTTAATGAAGAGAGAGTGTAAGAAAAATTCCATGATGAAAATCCTAAAGGGGAAAACAACTCAAGAAGCATGGGAAACTTTGAAAAATGTGATCATAAAAGCCCACTCCAGCACAATACCATTGAAAAAGAAAAACAAGAAATCCAAAAGGAAACCAGCATGGCTGCACAAAGATCTCTTTGATAAACTGAAAGACAAAAAGGACGAGTACAAAAAATGGAAAGAGGGACACATAACTAAGGCAAAGTATCAGCAGATAGCCCGAATCTGCAAATATGAAGTCAGGAAAGAAAGGCTCAGAATGAACAAAGACTTTTAACAAAAGTCAAAGATAATAAAAAAAAGTTTATTTCCACAGTAAGAAACAGTAGGTCCACTTAAGAGAGAAGATGACAAAGAAATAGCAGGCAGCAAAGAGAAAACAGAACAGATTAGGTGAAACCTGGCTCATAAACAGTAACTGTGAGAGGGACCTTGGAGTCCTAGTGGATGATCACTTAAATATGAGCCAGCAGTGTGAGGCAGCAACCAAAAAAACTAATACAGTCCTTGGTTGTATAAACAGAGGCATAGAATCAAAATCATGTGAAGTATTAGTACTGCTTTATAAAGCTTTAGTAAAGCTTTATATCTAGCTCTGTTCTGATTCTGATTCATTAGTAAAGTCACAGCTTCCTTCAACTATGTATGGCAAGGGCTGCAACCAAAGGCCATGGAATATATCACTGCAGCTCCCAAAAATTTCCAACATTGCTCTGAAATCTAGCATATCTGCATCATCCAATTTATTTATTTATGTAGATAAAGATGTAAAATTGTGACTCCTTCACCTCAGAGACATTGTTGTTTTACCATAGTGCATGTAGGGGGGGCAAGAAATGCAGTCTTCAATTACAAAAAGGTAATCTATTACTGGCATGAAACCTAGTTTACATTAGCCTTTCTTCATAGGCTAATGAGCAGAAGGATGGCCAAAGAATGACCGAATTTCTCCCACAGAGAAAACCTGCCTAAGGTCAGAAATGTATACAGTTAAGATCCTCAGTATAATGAGGCTGCAAACAAAACAAAACAAAACCTGAAAAGCATAAAGAATGTGTTATGAAATAACTGCATAATTTTTAATCCTTCTTGGCAGGAAATTTAAGAAAGACTCGGATTAATGAACAAATTCAAAAACAAGTTAAAAGGAAACCAGGCTTAAGAGTTCAGCTCTTGTCTCCCAGGGATGGGCTCTCAGCTGTCTGAACAAACAAATATGTTTTCCTCTCCTGAGACACTATTTAAAAACACTGTAAAACTCATCTATGTATGTCTTTTTCCCCTCCCCCAATTTCCATACAAATTAACATTTTCCAGATGTTTAAAAGGATGTTTTTTGCACCTAGAATCCAAACACGACAGTCCATATTTTTAAGAAATATTTTCCTTCAAAATTCCACAGTTTTCTTCCATTCAAGACGACATAACTCAGAGCAGTATAATTTTTATTTCTTCCCTGTTCCCTCCAATTTTTTTTAATAACTGAATTGTAGAGCAAAAACGAGTAAGTGTTCTTTGAAAAAGGGACAGCTAAAGTTACACATTTTGAACGTATACCCAGCCCTGCAGGGAAAAATAGTAGGGAAACTTTCTCACTCCCCAAAGTAATGTTATCTATCAAAATGAAGATGAATGATTTATTTTCCTAGATTGTTTTGTTTTGATGTAAATATAAAGTGAGGAAAAAAAATAAGGAAATGTATGTATAATAAAGCAGAACTGGCCCAGCAATGAGACATATTTTTGACAGACCACAAAGCAGCTGAAAAAACTTTAGACAGCTGAAGATGCCACTTGTCACATTCCACTGATCAAGTCCCAGCTAATGTGTTCCTTCAGTTCCTGCTGCGAAAGGTTATTTTATCCCACATAACACAAACAAGGAGTGGGTTGGTATCGAACCAACACAAGCAAAAATCCTATGATTATTTTTTGTTGTTTCCATCCAAAAACAATAAATACCACCACTTTCTCAGTCAGCTTTCCATAGATGTGAAGTTCAAAGGGCCACATCTCTGCACATTTAAAATGAATAGGCAAAGTTTAGGAAGAGCATCCTTCCCCAGACTGGTGAACTTCAGTTGTGTTAGAATGTAACTTACAGAATTGCAAAAGATCACAGCAGTTAGTGTTGGCTTCAAATTCTGAGCAGCACTTCAACAGTGGATGCCAAGTCAAGGAAGGCTGATGTCAGTACTCATTTTATATCTTCATTAGATGCTAATTGGGGTTACTAAGAAAATAACTAAAATTATATTTTGTTAAGCTTGCCTCTTTAAAAAAATTATGATTTTTTTATAATGTTTGCAATATTTTACCTGTCTACCCCTCAGGATCCCTCTGTGAGGGAGATGGACAATTTTTAAAAATTTGATAAATAAAGAAAGAAAATAAAGAAATACCAACCATGGTCTCTGTAGAGAAAAATCTACACAGAATGAAACTCCATTGCTCTCATACATATGAAACATCTGATGGGATTTTCATCCATCCTGATATCAATTGTATAAATGCCCTAACCATTTGCTCCTCATTGGTGTGGAGCTCTAGAGGAAAGCAATCTAAACATGTCATCAGGTTACTGCCTAAATTCAAACTGACTTTTACAGCATAGGTTTCCAATAGCAACAACTTTTCTAACTTCCTTGCACAAAGTTAGGCTTGCAAAGCCCTCTTTTAAGAAATATTAGCTGTTTTGTTTTAAGAAGCATCATTGGTCTTTTCAAATCCCCCCCCCCCCGCAAGTTATTTCCTGGTTAACATTACTCACTATGTAGCCCTCATGATCCTGCATTCATCCTATTTTTTTTTCTGTTACACATTCATATTATGCAAAATGAGTAACTTTTTACATATCCAGAATGGTGACACTCTATATGCCACAAGACTGGATATCCAGCTTCAATCTTTATCCCAAAGTCTTATATTGCTCTTATTTTCAGAGAGTGTTTGCTTCTGAAAACAAAATTCAGGAGTCAAAACAAACAGCATAACCTGTCAATTACAGTATTTTAAAAAGGCGTGTTTGTTTCTTTGTCAAAGAGGGACTAAAATTTTCCCCTTCACTTTGGCAGTCAGTAAATAACAACTGATCATCAGTGCTCTATCTCTGGAGGAAATGAATGCAGAAATCATGTTAGGCTCAAGTAGCCTTTATTTGAGGTCCACTTTTGAGTCACAGTTGTCTGGCCAAATGTGTCATTCTGTGAACACCCGAGATCTGCAAACACTCAATTTTCCATTCCCTGAAGCTAAGGCCAATAAACTCAGCATCTTAGCACAAAGCTATACAGGTAGTCCTCAACTTCCAACCATTCATTTAGTGACCATTCAAACTTACAACAACACTGAAGATTTATGACCCTTTTTCTTACTTAGGACTGTTGCAGCATTCCCAGAGCCACGTAATCAAAATTCAGATGCTTGGCAACTGGCATTGTATTTATGATGGTTGCCATACACCTACGACGGGGTCACGCAACCACCTTTTGCAACATGCAAGGTCAATGGGGACGCCAGATTCACTTACCCACCATGTTACTAACTGCAACGATTCACTTAACAACTGAGGCGAGAAAGGTTGTAAAGTGGGACAAAACTCACCTAACAAGAAATTTGGGGCTTTATTGCAGTCATAAATCGAGGAGTACCTGTATACCTCTGACATTGGAAATCTTAAGGCTTTAAAATGAAGCCCAGGCTTGCTTTCAAAATGTGAGAAAGGACTACAAAATTACCTCCTTGAGTCACCACGGCTGTTGGTGCTGCGGCTGCTAAAGGAACTGGTTTCTTTGTGGGTTCATTAAAGCCCCCGTCTTCCAGAAGGACACTTTTCTCTTCTTTTTTTGCAGAAGCCATTGATGTGGATGTTTCCATCTTAGTCATGCATATTCCAGCTTCCCGGTCCTTAAAAACAATACAAAAAGTTCAGTGTTTCTTTCTTTTCTTTTCTTTTTTCCATTAACGACACAAAAATTGCTTTTGATGGAAATTCTTTCAACCTATTCCAAAAGATAATTAAAAACAATAACAATAAATATTGATTGAATTGCTCATCAAGTTTTTGTCAAGCTGTGGTAATTATATCCAGAAAGGATCTGAAGCCACATTTTTTTCTATGGTTGACTTCAGATTGATATATACATACACACACATACACACATACCCACAAACATACAAACATACGCACATGCAGGGTGTACCAAACATTGAACCTGTAGACTAATCATGAAGTTTTATCACTTTTTTTCCAGAAAAAATGCTATTGTACTTAGGAATGTTTGAAAGTCACATGTCAAACAAGGAAGTGTTTAGAAGAAAATGGCAAACTATTTAAACATTTAATGTGATTTATATAATAAACTGTCTACAGAGCCTGACTTTGGATACACCCTGCATCTAGTCATTCATTTTTCATTCTATTAGAATATCTTCCATACTCTTCCCAAAGGTACAACTTTACAGTGAACTGCTGATTACAATTTGAAAAGTAGAACAAATAGGAACTTCAAGAATATTTGTATCCTTTTACTGGAAAACAGAAAGGAGACTTGTTCACTACTCTTCTGAAGTATTTTCTTAACCTAAGAAATCAGTCCTTTATTCTGAGTATCTAAATGCTGCAGGTGGTCCTCGACATACAACAGTTAATTTAGTGACCCTCTGAAGTTACAACGGCACTGAAAAAAAGTGACTTATAAACGTTCCTCACACTTATGACCAACACAGCATCCCTATGGTCACATGATCAAAATTGGGAAACTTGGCAACTGACTCATATGTATGCTGGTTGCAGTGTCCTGGGATCATGTGATCCCCTTTTGTGACCATGTGTCAAGCAAAGTCAGTGGAGAGGGCAGATTCACTTAACAACCATGTTACTAATTTAACAACTGCAGTGGTTCACTTAACAGCCATTGCAGTTCATAAAATGAGGCAAAACTCACTTAGCAATTGTCTCACTTTGCGGCAGAAATTTTGGGCTCAATTGTGGTCGTAAGACAAGGGCTACCTGTATTCCTGAAGCAAGATCAGGGAACCCCCTTCTATATGCTTTCCAAGGAAAGGGGGGAAAGCAATCAGTCCAATGCCCCCTGAAACACGGATACCAAGGCAACAGACTATATACCCCAAGGATTCTGCCACGCTTCATACACCTCAGTGTTGTTTATCCAGCAATTGGAACATTTTTCCCCTACCTTTGAATAGGCCTCTATCGCAGCGCTGCCTGCAAAGCATGGGCTTCAACACTGAGCTATGGCCCAACTCCAGTCCTCCTTGGAAAAAAGATGCTTTAATATAGGTGAAAGGGAATAATGTTCTAATAAAAAAAAAACATGCACCATAACTTCTGTTGAGCCACCACTTGGCTGTTGATTGCTATAGACTTCATTGTGCTTCAGTAACTCTTGCCTCTGAGCCTTACCTGCTCCTGGCTCAGAAGACTACAGAACAGGACTCTAAACTGACAAAGATGCTGATCCCTGCTGTGTTTTTGAGTCTGAAGGGGAAAAGCATCCGTCCATGATGATCATGTGTTTGTGCGTAGCATATATTGGGCTACATATTATTGAGAGTGAGCATAATTTATGAAGTAATCCTATTCCAAATGCTTGCCAAATTTTAATTGTATCCCTGCAAAACTGATCGGATTCCATATGTTTCCACGTCCTCATTTTCTAAACAGTTCCCAAATGGTTCACTCTTATTTCAAAAGACACTGGGGGAAAAAAAATCATTATTTTTTTTATTATTATTAAAATAGACTATGCATTTTTCCCATGCAAGAAACACACATATGCACATAACCACATATTGAATGTAGTCTTCACAGTACCAAGCAGCATTTCAACAGTCTGTTTTGCAGTTAGGACAAACCAACTGCTCACACTTTGGAATATTATAGTACATTCTCCGTTTGATAAGTATCTTGCTGGCTCCAGTGTCCAAATAGAAGAAGAAACATTGGCAGTGGTATCTGTGTTTAATGAGGTTCATACATCTCAGAAGGAGCTGATCTATAACTGGTGGACCTGCTGGGTTCCTGGTAGCTGCTTGAAAAACTAGTTGAGGCTGTGACCGAGGAGACTTTCCCCAAATTTGGTAGTGTACCGCCTATGGCCTTACCAAGACCACAAAGCCCAAAGTGGCTCATACTCTTATCACTGCGCTGGATCACTACAACACCCTTTACATGGGACTGACTTTGAATGTTACTCAGAAGGAAAGACACGACTGATCGTTTAAATACAACAACAAATATGGGAAGAAGAGGAGATTTTGTTTATACTGCAATTTTAAAAGAGGGTGAAAAGTTACTACATTAGCTTATGCTCAGTGTGATGAAAATTGGAAGCCATTTCTTTATTACTGTCTTTGTTTCTTTTTTCTTCACTATTTTTCTTTTTTCTGCAAATTCTGAACTTTTCTTTTATTGCCATTTTTCCTACTAGTTTAGTTTATATTAGTTTTTTACTGTGTTTCAAAAATAACACCTCAATAAAATTAATACAAAAGAAGATTCAGTAGAAACGGGATGCTATCTCTAACTCAAATGCCAATCAGAAGAAAACCAAATACACAGAGTATTAGTAGAGGTGGTACTTTGCTCAATAGTAGCAACTGTGAGAGGGACCTAGTGGATAATCACTTAAATATGAGCCAGCAGTGTGCTGCAGCTGCCAAAAAAGCCAACACAATGCTAGGCTGCATTAACAGGGGGATAGAATCAAGATCATGTGAAGTATTTATATCACTTTACAATGCCTTGGTAAGGTCACACTTGGAATACTGCATCCAGTTTTGGTCACCACGATGTAAAAAAGATGTTGAGACTCTAGAAAGAGTACAGAGAAGAGCAACAAAGATGATTAGGGGACTGGAGGCTAAAACATATGAGAACGGGTGCTGGAATTGGAGGAATTGGTGCTGGAGTTTAATGAAGAGAAGGACGAGGGGGGACATGATAGCAGTGTTCCAATATCTCAGGGGCTGCCACAAAGAAGAGGGAGTCAAGCTATTCTCCAAAGCACCTGAAGGCAGGACAAGAAGCAATGGATGGAAACTAATCAAAGAGAGAAGCAACCTAGAAATTTCCTGACAGTTAGAACAATTAATCAGTGCCTGCCTCCAGAAGCTGTGAACGCTCCAACACTGTAAGTTTTTAAGAAGAGACTGGACAGCCATTTGTCTGAAATAGTACAGGGTTTCCTGTCTGAGCAGGGGGTTGGACTAGATGACCTCCAAGGTCCCTTCCATATTATTATTATTATTATTATTATTATTATTATTATTATTATTATTATTATTATTAAAGAGGGGTTGAAAGCTCACAAAGGCCCCTGGAGACTCAGACTCAGCATCTGCTCTGGAGCTGAAATTGGATCCCATCCCTTCTTACTCTTCAGATCCTGAACAGGTTAACTTCCAAGTAGCCTCAGTGCTACCATAAGGTGGCACAGTTTACTAAGCATTGCAGGAGTGTTGAGCCTGGGCAAGAATAGATGAGCACCAGCTGAAAGCTAACAAGTACCAGCTGAGCCCAGGAGAAAATTCATAAAGAAGATGCACATGGACAGCAGGCAGCTCACTAGAAACAACATACATGGCCATTTCTTGCATTCAGAAACATTAACTTTGATTTGACTGTTGGGGCTTCTTAACCATAGTTTTGACATAATCCCTTCAAATATAGTATTATACCAAAACAACTAATTTACAGGTTGGATTTGAAATACTCTTCTACCTCAAAATATGTGTTTGTGTTTGTGTGTGGGACTGTGTGTGTGTACCTTTAGCTATAGCCTTAGAAACTTTTTTTTTCATTTTTGCCTGTCTTCACATCTATGAGACAGGAACTGGTTTAGCAAGACCTTGTAACTATTTTTCCCAGTAACCTTGCCAAGTTCTGAAGGTGGACCCTGGATGTGGAGCATAAAGTCTGTACCAGCTGATTCATCAAGAGTTGGCCTATTAAGGAAAAAGAAACATCTTGGCCTCCAGCACTTACAACTACTCTTAAGTACAGCAACTATAAAGAATGCAGCAAAAATCAAGAAATCAACTTGATGTGGACTGCAGTTAGATATAGAGGAAGTGGTCTTGATTATTGTGCAGATATAGCTATATGATACACTTTCCAGCTTAGGGATACCAGGAACATAGTAACAGCACATAAGAACAGCATCCAGGGAAGTGTCAAGAATTTGAACGGATTCTTCCCATACATTAGGGTAGCAGTCTAAGCCATAGGACTGGATACAGCCTATGAATTCGGTTTTATGGCACTGATGAAGTTACTTGCTTGGGTAATGAAACATCTGCAAGCAAAGTCAGAGAATATCAAGAGCTCCACAGTTGAACCCTGAGCTAAAACACTCACCAGTGTCAAGTATATAAAGGTGCCATTTGCTTGATGTGGGTGTCATTTTGGCATCAAGCATTTTTTGTTGCTCTTGTTGATTGGGGAGACTCTTTCAATGTATGAAACAGCCTTAAACTGAACTAAACTATCCCTCCATCTAGCCCCACTGATTAATATATCTCTGTGATTGGGGTTTCAATTCTCCAGTCTTACTGGGGACAAAAATTAGAACTGCTGGTAAGCAATGCATGTGCTTTACTGCTATGAATGATAGCCACTATAGTCCAAAGCCTCTCTGCTCTCTTCTTCAACAGATGGAAAAAAACAGCATATAAACTTAAGCAAAGAAGTTATCATAATCTAAATGTCTACCAGGAAAAAAACAACTCTCTGATAGTTAAGCCAATTTAATCAATTCTTGCCAGGACCTTCAGGCATCTGAAGGAATGATACTAGCTTTACTGCATGCTTGAGGCTTTCCTGATGCTACAGATAAGACACCTATAGCAAAGTCAACTTGCCAGCCTGGTTGACAAACTTGGTT